TACAAGCTTTATTCAATGGCCAGAGAATGCAGAAGCAGGAACTTAGTCTGCAAATTAACTTGGCAACCCAATCTGAGCAGAGACACCAGAAGAGGGTTGAGGTACAGGGAGGGAACTGGGAAGAGTGGGAGGAATATTCATGAGTTACTGAGAACAGGGATGTGGTGTGGACCCAGAACTGATGCAACTCTCCTTTTCCATCCTTGTAAGGGCTTTTCCAGTTGTCATGGCAATCGTCAACTGTCATGGCGCTGGTGGGTGTGTCATTTGCCGCTGTGGATTACCTGGGTGTTTAAATAGGTTCAAGGTCTACTGGAAGTCAAATCCTCCGCCATCTTGGGCCTAGTTGGTTCTAACCAATTAGGTTAGATTTTTGTTTTTCTCTTTGCTGCTGTCTCCTGAAACTTGGGTAAGAGTAATTGGCTTCTAATGAAGGGAGAGGCAGGGGTACAACCCTGGGGCAACCGCCCTGGAAACATGATGAGATGTCATTGGATAGTTTTATGGTGAAGAATGATAATGTCAGATATATTTTTGAAATTTCACTCTGGCTGCTCTGTAAGAATAGACATCTGGGGGCCAAGGTAAGGAGAACAAACAAGAGGCTCTTCCAAGAATGAAGGTGATGGTCTCTTTCTCCTCATACAGCCATTAGATGCCTGGATGGTCATTCTTGCTGAAAACAATTGCAGCTGCTGAAGAACACACAATGTGAAAATGTGACAGAAACTGCTGGATATCTCCTAATATTTACTATCTTCTTTTCTGGTAACAGAACCCTGGTTATTAGTTCGACACATTGATGAGGAGATCCTATACCTCCCCACTTCTCGTAGTCAGGCCAAGTCACAAAGTTCTGGGTAATAATAAGTCAGTCAAAATTTCATGTGAAAACTCCCAGTGAAACTCCTTGAAGGAAGGGAGCGACCTCTTTGCTATGCTATCTTCTCTCCGTGCTCCACAAAGTGCAGACAGGTGCCTGGGGCTGGAGCAGACTTCTTAGATTAGTACCAGGAACAGCGGGATGGAAGGCAGCAGGTCCCAGATGACTACAGAACCTCCTGGAAGTTTCTATCTTGTTCATGTCATTGCTTGTGTATTCCTATTAAATAAAGCAGAAGCTAAGCTTAGCAAACATAGGAGCAAAGGGGAGAGCAGATTAATGAGTTTTGGAGGCTTCTGCAATAGACCAAGTAAGAAATGACCAGGATTCAGCAGGAGTTGAAAAATAATAGGTAGTGAGATTCAGCATAGATAAAGGATGATCCAATAGGATTTGTTGGTGGATTGAATGCAGGTTGTTATTATAAAGGAAGACATCAAGCATGCATCTGTATTTTTAGCTGAAATAAAAAGGAATGGAATCAGTATTTACGGATTTGGGAAAGATTGCAAGTGGGACAAGGTGTTTTGTTTTGTTGTGTTTTTGAAGGGAAAACCTAACCAAGACTTAATTCGGGGGATGTTCGTTTTAGATACTATCATATTTCCAAATTGAAATATGGCAGGGGCATCCGATAAATGATTCTGCAGTTCAGGGAAAAGGACTGGGTTGGAGATAAAATTACGGACTCATCAGAGATCACCTAAGGAATATATACGGATAAAGAAGAGGTAGAAAGACTAGGTGATGAGCAACGATGTTTATAAATCCAAGAGATGAGGATGATCCAGCAAAGAAAACTCAGAAGGAACAGCCAATGAGGTGTCTTGGAGGCCAAAGGGAGTGGGGTAAGGGGTCGTGTTTCAAGAACAGAGTGATCAGCTGTGACAAACACTGCTGATGGATCCCACTGAATGCAAATCAAGAAGTGACCACTGGACTCGGTGACATGAGTGCCATGCAAGATTTTGAAAGAGCTGTTCATGTTAAGTGGGTGGGGATGGAGAAGACCTCACCAGAATGGAGTCAAGAAAGGGTGAGAAGTTAGACATTAGAGACTTCCTGTATAAATAACTCTTTTTAGAAGCTTTGTTGTAAAGAAGAGCAGAAAAGTGAGAAAGTAGCTTTTAATTTTTTTTTTCATTTTCTTTTAGGTGGGAAATACTATAACATGTTCATACATTCATGGGAAAGATGCAATAGAGAGAATTAGTGAAATGGAGAAGCAAAAGAGAGGAAGCCATGTCCTGCCGTGGAGCAGGTGACGGGGAACGGAGTCTGGTGCACACGTGGAAGGACTGGCCTTTCCCAGGAGTCAGGTTAGAGCGTGATTTCCTGTTTAGGTTTTTATATGTGGTTGCTGGAATGTCAGGACATTTTCTTCTGATTTCTTCAGTTTTCTCAGTAAAGCC